CTTGAGCTCAGGTAGTTGAGTCACACCTCCAGCTGACCCCTAATTTTTAATGACTTGCCTTTACTGAGTTGTTCCAATTGTAGTTAGTCTTCACAGAAACAAAAACTTTTACTTGGATTTCATTGGTGATATGATATTTTCAAATTGCATGCCATTACAATAACAAATACATTTGATAAGTTTGGAGGCAAATACACCTGATTGTTAGTTACAGGCAAATTATTGTAAAATGTTCAAGACACAGATGCATGAAGATGGTAGTTTACATTCACATAGTGGTCTAAAGGTAGTGAGTATTCTAGGACGAGTAAGCAATAACTCTATAAAATCAAAGGTTTTTCCCATAAAATCAAAGGTGAGTTATACCATACTTACAACTCCAGTCTAAGAAAAGAGGAAAAGGGTAAAGACAAAATTTAACACAAGCAGTAATGTGTTTATGGTGATACCTTGAAGCTGTTCTTGTCATTACCACTCACAATCTATTCTCCCAAATGTGTATACATCCTTATGGAGCTTCAGGATAGCTGGGAAAATATAATCTACAGCTGGTCATTTATCCAGACAAAGATGGGATTTTTACAACTTACAAGAATGAGAGAATTAATTCCAGGTACCAGCAGTCTTTGATACACAAAGTAAGTAATTGGTAGAAATGGAAGAGAATCCTGTGTAATACTGAATCAGCTTGTGCTGCGTAACAAACCATACCACACCTGGTTGTTTAAAATAACAAACACTCAGTACTCATGATTTTGTGGGTTAGCTGAACAATTATTGTCTAGTGGCTTTACTGGACTGCATGATCCAGGAATCTTCACTGGGACATCTGTATTTTGATTGACACAATCACTCAATAGGCCAGTCTAGGTTTCTTTTCAGAGATATCTCAGTGTCCCACAAAGATACAAGAGGGCAAGCTCCAGAAAATGAATAATAAGTTTTAAAGCTTCTGTTTGTAAACCTTTGATGAAATCCCATTGGCCATGGCATGTCATATGACTATCCCCAGATCCAAGGAGTGGGTAGATACTATCTTATGATGGTAGAGGCAGCTATATCACATTGCAAAGAAGAGTGCATATAGGGAGGGGAGGAATTTGTGAAGAAATAATAAATTCACCCTGTAGATTCATGTTTTATAGAAAAATATGGAGATGCTGGTTACTCAGGATGGTATGTTAAAGGAAATTTGATCAGTAGAGCTTCTATCTATTTGTTAGGAGATTGGTTCCTTGAGTTAGGTCTACTTAGCTTTACACCATAGATAAGAAGGATTTTTTTCTCAGAAGGATTTTTAGATAGTGCAAAGTATGATAAAGATGTTGATAAGCTGAATAGCTCAGAATTAAAGTCTGTTTCATTGTATAATATAAATAACATAAAAAACCTATCATACATTAGTTGTTTAAATACCACACATAACCAAAACAAGTTTGATATTCAGAATATATTTAAAAAAAAAACTGAAAATCAATGAGAAAAACAACTCAAAAGAAAAAAACAAAAACAAAGAACAAATAACAGCTAAACAACAGTTTAAAACAATAAAAGAACGCAATTCATTTTATAGGAGAACATAGAGGCCAGTAGACATATCAAACGAAGATTCAACATTACTTGACATCATAGAAATGCAGGTGCAAGTATCTGTCAGATAACATTTTATTTCTAAAGTTTAACAAAAACTAAAAAACCAAATAATAAATCAGTTAGATAATAATGAATGTTGCAAATGGAGCAATGAGAATGTGTTTTGAGAAAGAAAATATGTCAGTATAATAGTTTGGGAAGTGATTTGGCACTATTTTAAAGAGTTCAAAATATAGCTGGAAGTGTGATACACAGCTGTAATCCTAGCACTTGGGATGCTGAGACAGGATTGAGAATTTGAGGAAAGTTTGTCTCAACAGTGATAATAAAAGTAATATGCTTATTTCATGATCCATGAAATAACTCCTAGATAAACACTCTAGAGTAATTTGTACCCACATACAACAGAAAACCTGTACAACAATGTTCACAACATGAAAAAACAAATGTCTGGAAGCAACCTAAATGCTTCTCAACATGAGAATATATGAAAAATTTAAATCATTTTCCTACTATGTCAATTATACAGTGCAATCAACAATAGTTGTAAGTCTTAATGTAAGTGAAAAGAAGGAATTTTCAGCAGAATAAATTTAATCTTGTTTATCAAATTTTTCTAATATGCAACCCATGCAAGTATAACATGCTAGCTTAGAATACATATATGTGTTGTAAAAATATCAAACAAAAGCCAAAATTACAGAAAAAAATTCAGGATACTTGAGTGGGGACAGGAATGGGATACATGGGAGAATAAATGGTAAGATAGTACTTTGCTATTTTATTATTCTTTATACTTTACAAGTCTGTCATATGGATTATTTGTTATACATGTATATTTCATAGTTTTAAGAAAGGAGATGGTATCAGTTATAGTTTTCATTCAGGGCTTCTCAAAATATTCCACAAAGATACTCCTGAGGGTTTGGGGAAATAGTCAAAGCTCCTTGTTCGAAGCACAGATTAGAATTCTCCAGTGATCTTTGAAATTTTGATACTATTTTTGTACTGTACTCCAAAATTTTTTAGTGATTATTTTATTACCAAAACAAAGCTATCACCAGCTAGGCACAGTGACTCAAGCCTGTAATCCTAGCTACTTGGTAGGTGGACATTAGGAGAATCATGGTTCAAGACGAGCCTGGGCAAAATGTTTGAGAGACCCCCGCCTCAACCAGCAAAGAACTATATGCAATGATGTGAGCCTGTCATCTCAAGTATGTGGGGAAACACAAATAGGAAGCTCATGGTCCAGGCCAGCCTGGTCAAAGACCCAATCTCAAAATTAATTGAAGCAAAAGGGCTGGCTGAATGGCTCAAGTGGAGGAGCTCCTGCCTAGCAAGCACAAGGCCCTCAGTTCAACCTCCAGTACTGCAGCAAACAAACAAAGACCAAAGCCATTATCATAAGTACCTAGTGGAACTGAAGTTCAGGAAGGCAAATCATTTAGTCCTATGGCTTTGAAGAGTCACCGGCAATCCATAGAATACTTGAATGATGAACATAGGTTTGTTATGACAGGAGGTAGTATTCAAGGTTTTTAAATTCTGTGGTCATTGTTATACAACAGCAGAAAGCAAAGTAAAGAGTCTTATCAAGGAGAGAAAAAAAATTGCCATAGTCTTCTACCTTGTACACACCCTTATCATGTCACATATCATAGTCAATGGAATTGCTGTTTCATTGGCTGTATGCCCTCATAGAATGTAAGATCCACCTTATCTGAGTTAATTTTTCTATCTTCTTATTCCAGTACAAAAAGTAGCACACAGAATGCTTTATAGGAAACTCTCATTGGCTTTATTAATAATAGCATATCATTAGGACTGCAAGTTTGGCAGTAGAGGACAACCTTCATGTGGGCAGGATTTCTGTCCTATGAGTGGGTCTCACTGATCACAATTGCCATTTCCATGTTGGTTTGAGGAGTGGGCAGTGTGATCTCCTTCACTGAGAGGAGCTCACTTGGCTTATCTCTCAATACCATGCAGAATGACTGAGATCAAGCAGTAAACTTTACCAAAACCTTCCTAAGTCTACTGGGTAACAACAGAGAATAATTATTGCCCGGAAATTAACTTTCTGATGGCGATTGTTGCTGTCAGTGTTACCAGTCCAAATTTATGCTTGCCACTTTGCCTCTCAATCCACTTTCAATATTTCAGGGGTTATTTTTTTCTTACCACTCTGTAATATTTTCAAGAATAGATGGACTCTAGGCTGATGAGAATGTGGTTACCAGAGGAGAATGGAATCTAGTTTATTTACTGTCTAAATTCTCCCTTTGAAGTCATAGTTTTCAATTTTATGATCTACACCTTCCCTCTCCCTTCAGTGGAGACCAGCTCCAAGAAGACAACTACATAGGGACAAAAAAGGGTTTAAGGGAAGGACATGAGATATTCCCTAGATAGTTGGAGCTGGGATGGAACATGGGTGGTTGGGGAATGGGAAAGAAATGATCCTTAGAGGTAGCTCAATAAATGTTTGTTGAATAAATGAATTAAGGGCCAGTGAGAATTCTTGGAGTATGCTGTGATGGAAAGAAGGAGCAAAAGAAAACAGAAATGAAAACATAGGAAGTAGAAAAGTAAACTAAATTTTATAAAACAGAATAAGCTTGATCAAATAGTTTTGTTGCCAAATTTTTTTGAACATTAGTGGAGTGTAATTCCACTAATGAGGTGTGCCAGCCTTCTGATGGGGACCATTTTCGTGATATAATGAAATAACATTGCAAATGGAAAGGCAGCTCACAGTGTTTGCCAAGAAAGCCCAAAATTCTAGACACACCTATTTGAATGTCATTCAAGTTTGATATGAATGTTTATTTTAGAAGTCTGAACACAGGAAAAATTAAGAAAGCACTCCTAGGATTCAGCCTGCTCATATCAAGTGACCAGTGAAAAGACAACTCGACGTTAAAAGATTAGTGTTTTTTGTTTGTGTGCTTGTTTTAAGTAGAAAGAGGGAATTATGTAAAAGCTGGGTTGAAGAATCATTCATTTATTCAACAAACTTTCATTTATTGCATAATTCTATAAGAATACTCTGCTAGTAGCCTAACATATAATGGAAATAAAAACAACATAGATTCGATAGGCTAGTGTAAAGATAAGGGACCTCATCAGAATTATAAAACTGCAGAAACACAAAAACCATAGGAATATACCATGATAATATATATCAAATCTGATCAGTAATTATGAAATAGAAAGTGATGGATGTGAAGGTTATAGTACTATTGTGATTGATAATTGACTGTTACAGATCTAAAAATTATTACAAATATGTCAGTGAATTAGCCTATGTGGTAATTTCTAACAAAAACTAAGAGTTCTATGAATTACCTTCTGAAAGAAGAGAATGGGAGAATGAGTCATAGCAAAGTCTGTTTGCTCAACAGGATCCAGAAAACCAAAATAACTGAAGACAGACAGGAGGATGAGTGACTCGCCTACAGTCACAAAGGAAACACTTACAATGGCTTATCCTTATTGGTATAAGAAATAACAAGGAATCATGATATCGAATAATTATTTTCCTCAAAAAACAATGAAATCCAAGAGCATATATGGATGGATGAGTCAAGAGAAGTACTGGTAGGCAGGAAAAAAAAGTAAGTTTGAACTCAAATGCCAGTAGGCATGTTGTTTTCTATGCTAGTGGAATGATTATACCTACTTGATAAACATATAAATAAATTCCCTTCATAATTTAACCTTTGCAAGTTGAAGTTGGAATGTGGCAGAAAGTATTTTGGGCTAAATATTACTCACGTGTAAGGAATTGGTGTGATAGAGGCACTCCCCTCCAGTCTGAGGTAGAAAAAAAATGAACCAAAAATCAATCTTTTGAAAAGTGATGAAAATGCTTATTTATTCATAGTATACACATTCATTAAATGTTTATTATGTATGTATAAAGCATTGCTCAGGATTAGAAACCTACTTTATCTTACTTTGATTCTTTTCATTATTTTCATCTTTTGTTTTTACTTTAGAGCCAACACTTTTCATGAAGAAAAAGATGTGCAACTTATTAGTAATATTATCTAACAGATCTGTTTAATTTCCAGTGATACCCTGTCCGATTACATTAGCTACACCAAAGCAAACACTGTAACTTTCATGTGCATGTGACAATCTTTAAACTTCTGGGGCCACAGAATGAAGGCAGGTATGAGGCAGATCAGAGGAAATCCACCCTTCCTAGAGAATTAGGGTAGGAGTTAGCTCTGTTCATTTGGCTGTTTTGGGGGCAGTATTGAAGGTTGAAGTCAGGGCTTTGCTAGGCAGGCACTCTACCATGTTAGCCATGCCCCAAGCCCTTTTGCTTTGGTTATTTTAGAGACAGGGTCTCCTTTTATGCCCGGGGCCAGCCTGGACCACAATCTTCCTATTAATTTGTGCTTCCCCAGTTAGCTGGGATGACAGGCTCATACCGCCATACCCAGCTTTTTTATTGGTTGAGATGGCATCTATGAATTTTTTTGCCCAGGTTGACCTCAAACTTCTATCCTCCTGATCTCTACCTTCAGAGTAGCTAGGATTTACAGGATTGTGTCACCAAGCCAGCAACGCTGTTAAACACTGTTCGGATACTGTTAAATATCTTTGAGAATGATAGTTAAACCTTTGTGAGGTTTTTTATTTTTTTCCCTGCAAACATCCTTTGATGTTTTTCTGTGAATAAATGAAGCCATTAGGAGCAATCGTTTTGACAGACCCTTCTCTTATGCCTGAGAGCCTGAGCTGTCTGGAGAGATGTAAGGGATATTGTGACCATGACTGTTGAAGCCATGACTCCTGCTTCAAGAGGTTTCGTTCCAGTCACTGCACCAGTGCTGGAAATCTTCATGGCAAGTAAGACAAGTTTTGATGAACTTCAGATGACCTTACCTGCAGGTCCAGAGAGCCCCACCTCTGGCTGCTGTGGACCCGGAAGAGGCTGTCTTCAGTCAAGTCCAGTGGAATGAAGACATTCCCATTGTGACTCAGAAAAAACCTTTTGGTTGACAGACGGGAGGGCAGTATCTGTGTTTAGCTTTGATTTCTTTGGATAAAACTGTAAAGTTCTGCGGTGATTGGGGAGAGTCACAGTTAACCACATCTGCATGCATCCATGCTATAACTCCCTCCTGCTATATAACCAGATGGTTCAACTCATTTTTCCAGTTAGCCAGAGACCCTTCTGTGTGGCTTCCCTGCTACTGCAACATAGGCCCCAGTAAAAGAGTTTGTCCTGAGTGAGCTTTTGACTACTTGTGGTCTTTATCATGGATAGATTGGGTTGAAGCTGGTTATACAAAGTGGCTGTGGCAGCAGTGGTATCAGCAGGGGAAATGGAAGCTTCAGAGGAGCTGGCAGCAGTGGCAATGGTGGCAGTGGCAGTGACAGCACCAGCTTCAGTAGAGGCAAGGAGGCTAAAGCACTCCTGGAAATAATGTGACTCAGGAGTTGAGGAGGGCAGAGGCAGTCGGGATCAGAGGTGGCAGAGATGACAGACAGTAGAAATATACAGAAGGCAAGAGAACATGAAAAACCAAAGCATAAGAAAGCAGAAAGCTGTGAAGAACTGAAGACGAGAAACTGTGGGCCCTGGCTGCTAAGACAGTTTCAGGGGGCTGTTAAGCCCTATAGGCCAAGGTCCTGATTCCCAAGGCCCAAGAGCTGTAACACTAGCTGCCGTTATGGAGTTCCTGACACTGAGGGCTTTAGAACCGTGATACTGGCCATTGCCTCCTGTCACCAATGCTGGCTGCTGATACAAGCTATGGGTTTCTGGTTGCTGAGTGTTGGATCACTGACAGTTAAGTCCTGGAGTAGTAAGCCTGTGGCCTGAGCTATGTACCTCTGGTCTCTAGAGTTTGGAGCCATAGTTCCATAGCCATAAGTTTCTTGGTCTGTTGGTATAGCCACGGGCCTTGGCACTCAAGGGCCTGGAAGTAACAACACTGAGGAAGCTGCTCTTGGACTATTCATGACTTCCATAAATATAGAGCAAAAGAACCTCAACCAGCTGATTGGTAGTAAGTAGAGATGGTTTCTTCTTTTTTTTAAAGTCATTTCCTTGTTTTTATTGGAGAATTCCAGTATGTTCAGAAAAGTCATGCTTCTAGTTAAAAAATATTACAGTTCTTAGACTCCTTTAAAATTAGGGTTGGTAATAGAACTCAGTGCTTGCCAGTGAGATATAAAGAAGAAAACTGTTGGTACAAAGGAATGACTACCTTCTGATGCCTTTACAGTTGGTTCATCTCCTGATTTTTCTGTGAAATTGGCTTTGATGAAGCTGCCGTCTTGTAACCATAGCCTCAGGATATGATGGAATGCAAGCCATGGCAGAGTAAACATAGCAAAGTGTATTTCTGTGGCCTTTTGGGGATCCATACTTGCTGGGGCCCTCCTCAAGGCTTCATTGTTATGTGAGAAAAGTATGTTGCTATTTGGCTCAGTCACTGACCAGGTTTTTCTGTCTTGCTATTTAAGAGCTCCAGGGACAAAATAATAATCTTAGAGGAAGAAAATTAAAGATAAAAAAACAAAAAGGATGGAACAAAAAAAATGATATTGTCATACACTTAAAATGGATTTCAATTTTTTTTGAAGTAGCATGGTAATTAAATTTATAGTACTTCATTGATTCTGAGATAGTCACTTTTTCATGTTTTTAGATCCCCCAGATTAAGTATTTTACAATGGCATTTGGTTAGATGGCTCTCATCTTGTGAATGTTATTGTTTGACACATGTATAAGAACTTGCAGAATTATCCCAATGGCTTAGAGTAAAATTCTGTGTTCAACAATTCCACTCTTATATAAGAAATGCTGCCTTACCCATGCTTCTTATAGGCAAAGATGATGCTGTTGTATGGAAAAACACAGACATCAACAATTCTTATGCAACATGATTTAGTATAATTGAACCTGAAATATGAAAAAGCTTTTCAAATGCCTAAACCTATTTAGTTTGTTTATATTTTCCTTTTTGTATAGGCATAAGAATGATATATAATCCCCAAATAATTCTAACTGGAGTTTTTTAATGTACATGCAATTTAAATTCCAAGAGATAAAAATGTATGTCATAATTTAATTGGCAGCTTTTCAATCTTTCTTAGTGGTATGTAAAATAATGATGTGTTTTATAAGAAATGATATCCCAGATTTGATGAAATACCAGAAAGCTCCCTTCTGCCAGGAGTAAAAGTCAGCCTTCTTTTGCACAGCATGATGTTATAATAGAACACAGGCCTTGGAGAAAGAGGCCAAGGAATCTAGCTTAAAATAATGTTTTATGGATTCTGTGCAAAACGCCTAGTGGAGTGCCTGGCAGTTATGTTGCCTTAGGGACCCATCCTACGAATTGTTCCCACAAGCACTTCTGAACTCTGATCTGAATCTACATTGTCTACAAGCCCAAATGCAAATTGGACACATACACAACATGCGTATTTGTGGAATGAATTTAATTCTAAAACTTCCAATTAGCTCCATATATCATGCAAGTTGGTTTGGCATTTAAATTTTTTTTCCAGGTTAGTGGTGTTATATAATATATTTATACCTGTGCTTTTAAATAAATTTCTGGAACTGTCCTTTCCTGTAGAGATGGATTTTTAGATGCTTATTTTTAAATTGAAGAATCCACGGTTTCAAGAGATTAAGCAAATTGCCTAATGTCACAATTGTTATTAAGGGACGTACTGATGATTATATTTTACAAATATCTATTTCAAAAGTTTGTGTTCTTTCTACTATATATTTAAAATAAACTTCCCACTCTGCAGCTTACTTCCAACAAAGTATTAGACTTGTAGGGTATGTTGCTAGCAGACAATGTTAGAAATCACAACAAAATTGTCCAAAGTTCAACTATAAATTTTAAAGAACTAAACAGTTCATGTTAAGTTGGCATTATTCAGGAAAAAGAAAAAAAATAAAATGTAGTGGCATAAAACCTCTGTATAATGAACACAGAATAAAGAAGTAGTGCCTATGGCTAACTAATTAACCTTTTCCTCTTTTTAAAATATATTCTGAGAAGACAGAAATGGTTGTTTGATCACCAAGGTATATGAATGAATCCAACAGGCTAGGACATGTTTTGAGTACTTGCAAAATTTCCTCATTAAGAATTTATTTTCCTTGCACTATCAATTTTAAAGTGAAGATGTAGAATCTTTGGCTATACCTACACTAGCCACAGAATTGGATGTGACAAAGACTTGTTTAATCTGATTGGTGAGAACATATTATGATGATAGGTACAATTTATGATAAGTGATAATTATAGTCAAATGCCTAAGCCAGTCTTTGGAAACTGAGACTCAAAACTTGATTTTCTACATATCACATATGAATCCAAGTCTTCTCATGAACAAGAACTTCATCCCTCAGGTCTTGAAAAAAAAAATAGCTCATTTAGCAGATTGTAAGATTACTAAACATCCTGGCATGGTATAAGC